GGTGTTTGCCATCGGGATTGGGTTTTCGTCGCTTGGCAACGACGTTGTAAAACAAGCCGCAAGGGGGATGATCGCACCACGTTGTGTCAAAATGGTCAAGCACCCGCAAGGCAGGTAGACAGTGCTTACAACTGTCTCTGGAAGTGAAGCACCAGAAAATAAATTAAGTCATACGCAGCTGTCATCCGTACGCAAGGAAGTAAGCACAAGATGCCGAACACCCTTAGCAGGATGCAGCGCACCCTTCATGCGACTCGCCAAATATCTCACGGCGCTTCGCGCTTGGTGATGTGAGAGCCTGGTCCGGTGAGAACCCGGCGTACTCAGTCCCGCCCTTGTAGAGATGCGAGGTCAATGATTTAACGACTACGGCATGCACGACTATGAGTGCACCCCCCTCGCCAAACTGGATGATTTGATGAAGCAATCGGCATCTGGGGAGATTCTTGTCGGTTGGCATTCGATAACTCCCGAAACAGCTCGTTATCGGTGTCTGTTGAAACAACAACATCGCCTCTAGAACGGATTTTTTTCTCCGTTGAACGTGCGGTATTCCCAACGGCGCTTTTATATTGTTCCCTACACATTAATCAATGAAGGCTTGCTGTGATCGTTGAAAGACGCACCAGCGGTAGTCCTCGGCGCAGAGCTGGAAGTAGCACATCACGATGCTGATCTCGGCGCAGGTTACGGTGAGGATGAGCATGACGGACATCAAGAACCCGAAGATGTAGTACAGCTGCTGCTCCCACATGGCCGTCATGACGAACACCAGCTCCACCAACACGGCCCCGAAGGGCAGCACGCCGGCGAAGGGAACGGCCACCTAACCGCAGCCAAGACGGAGGGAAAAAAGGAAGGTTATGCAATACTGTAGAGAAAAAGTACATTTCTACACGTCCGTTCATACAGAACTTCTTGTAGCAGGGGAAAACCACGAAACAAAGGGCCGAGTAGCCTTCGAGGGTTGTTCGATAAATTAAGTGGACATGTTGACAAAAACATGCAATCCGGGAAGTTGGGTTACGGTTATGGTTAGGGAATAGGGGGTACGTCCCTCAACCCTGTTGTACTTCCTCACAAACTCATTGACCTCGCGAAGGTAGCCCAAGGAGCCTTTGTTAATACATGCATGCGTGCGGGCTGTATCTCCATGAACTTAACCCGTCGATTGTTACACCGCGTTGGCGGAATGTTGTTGGATGCACCAGCTGTGGGTCACCAGAGGAAGGCCGCACACGAGTCTCACGTCGCGGTGCTGTGCCTAGAAAAACACAATTGTCATCCCGAACGGCCGCTCTTATCTCAACTCACACAACGGCGGATATTTCCGAAGAAGATTCTACGAAAATATTCTACAATATGTTGTAGAATTGTAACGCTCACCTTGGGATCGACGTACCATGGCGTCTGGGGGATCATGCGGGGGATCTGGTTCGTTCTTACCACCTGACAAACGGAAAAAGATGACAAAACACACACGCGGAGGCGGGAGTAAGATGAACGAACGAACGTCATATGCGAGGGGACGAGGAGGGGAGGGGTTGAAGAGCAAGCGCAAGGAGTCGCGCCATCGTGGTTGAGTGTGTGGGGAAGGTGTGGATCGTAAACAAGTGAAAAACACGTCGTGTCATCATAACCGCTAAACTACTGAGTTGAGACACCACCGACAAGAGAAAACGAAACATGGATTGTAATACTTGCCGGTCTAAGGCCGGAAGGCCATTTGCACGACTCAAACAACAAATAGCGGGTACCGGCACCGACAAGGGAACGTGTCCAACACGACCGTGATCGGAAAATCATACCTCTCATTCACCACATTCCTACCTTGGACCTTGCGGGGGGGGAAAGCAAACGAAAGGAGCAAATTAATGTGAAGGAGATTGCCCCTTCTTGAAGGCCTTGCGGAGATACAAAGATTAGAGGCAAGACATGCGCGAACCTCTGCAACATAAAATGCAACCAACACATTGCCCTCGACTGACTGTGATACGGCTACATAATGTAGTCCTTCCGTGATTGTACGTAAACAAACCGTTGTGCGACAAACCTGCACTGGCTGCTCCTTGACCTGAACCCATAGAACGAGGTGGAAACCCGTCCACAGCACTTGACGGTCCCCAACGAAAAAATTGAAGAGGCGTTTTCAGGGCCTTCTCGTAGGTAACAACGTTGTGTGACAAACCTGCCGCGGCTGTTCCTGGCCCAGTACAAGGACAACGTAAAAAATATACAAAAAAGAACAGCCGTTTTCTCGCGGCCTTGATGGACAAAATCCGTCGTGCGACAAACCTGCGGCGGCTGCTCCTTCTTGAAGCCGTAGAACGACCCGAGGAAGACGAGGGGGGTCTGAACGAACAGCAGCATTGCCACGAGCAGCACCAGGATGCGGACGGGCACCGCCCCCGTGGAGCCGATGAACCACTGCTGGATCCCCTCCAGCACGAACACCGAGCCCGCCAGGGCCGGGAAGGAGAACGCCGTCAGGAGGGTCATCTGGAGGGTGGCGACGGGTCGGGGAGAGGGGTCGAATCAAAGGGGCGGTTGGTGGGAAGAAGCGACCGTTATCGACGTAGCCTCGTGTGCGGGGTTCGGGTGTCCCAGGGGGGGGGGGGGGGGGGGNGGGGGGGGGGGGGGGGGGGGGGGGGGGGGGGGGGGGGGGGGGGGGGTGAGATCGAGACAACGCGGGGAAGGAAGGGATAAGGTTTGGTAGAGAGACGGGGGGTCGAACCGAAAAGAGCGGCCACAACGATAGTACCGCTATTGATGTATTGCATGTGTGTGATGGTCGTGTACTTCGAAATATGTAGTTCCAAACGACCACACACGGACGTAAAGCCCGGGGAACATACTGTTGTAGTGCATGTACCAAACAGAGGAAACACCAACGAGCTTTGGGAAAAACAATGGTTCTCGTGAACGGCAGCGTTAGAAACGTCTCGTCAAAAGCATTCCGAAAACGGTGCTGCGGTATCCTCTACCTCGGTGGAGTGAACCATGGTATATACCTTTATCCACTCGGTGCCGCGGAATCGGCGGTGTATCTTGGCCGAGTTGTACCCGGCGATGCCGCCCGTGAGGACGTAGATCAAGAGGCACACGGTCAGCATGTCCCCGCGCTTCATGGGGCTGACAAGTCGCATGACGCTGAAGAACAGCACCAGGAAGCACACCGACCACAGCTGGACACCCGTTCCCACGCAGACCTAATACCCGGTAATATTAAAAGGCGGCAATAATCGCAATGGCAAGGGGGGTGGGTGTAATAATACAAACACATACTGTCGTCATTAGACCACTGATCCTCGCATCCCTACAAAGCCGGGACGGAGGGAGCAATATGCCGGGTTTTCGCCGGCCCACACAACAGGCTATCTACGTTCCAGAACAAGGATTGGACGGGGTAAGGATGTACAGACCGCCCCCACACTTCAGAACTTGGCAGCAAAGAATATGACAAGTCTAAGAACTAGACCACCACTTGTTAGCTATTGTAGGTTAAGGATCCCGACAATACCACCAACATTGCCGCCATTCGCAGCAAAACCCAGTCCGTGTCGTCCCGTTTACGTGGAAAACGTCGGGTCAGGCTTCTTTCTACGCCTTCCGCGGTGTGCGATTGTTTCTCAGTCGGGGGTCATCGATTTTTCCGCAAGAGCCGTGTGCAGTACACCAGCAGCCGCGTGCATGCTTACCGCGAAGAGCATGGGGGCCGTGGTGGGGGGCCTGAGTACATCGCCGTGTACGAGCTTCCACCCAGTCTCCTCGTTCGCCTCCTCCATGTCCTGTTATGTTGTCAAAAATAGTCGAAGTCAACACATCACAATCACGCGGTGTTTCAGCAGTTAAAAGCAGTATGAGGCATTACGACAATGCAACATCAACGGAGGAAATCACAGCACAGACACGAGGAAGCCGGTAGAGATGCAGATGAGATGAATCACAACGTTTGTTTCTTCGTGTCCTGGAGAGAAAGCGATGGCATCGTATGTCGCACCACGACATAGCAACTTCAACAGCAGGTGGACGGAACTAGCCCGGGCGACAGGTGCACAAACGCTCGCCGTGTCACCCCTTGACAATCACCAACGAACATGCCACGAAAACAGCAACAAAACCACGACTATTCACCTTTTCATGGTATCGCTGAATGTCCCTGTGCATGCACAGGTTTACCGTGCCGAACACAAAAGCGGGGTGCCCGGCGACCAACTCACACGCGGAATACCGCTCAATGTCCTCATACGGGTGGACCGTACCGCGACAAACGACACGCAAAGGAACGGCGGGTTGCCACTGTCACAGCCACGACTACCTCACTACCACTCTTGTTCTGCCCACCTCTGCGTTGTAGCGCTGGATGTCCTTCCTGAGGGCACGGAACATGATCATGGCCACTAGCACGGTGAGGAACATTACGATCACCGAAGAGTTGGTGATGCTGAACCAGTGGATCTGGTTGTCCACGGCCCCGCTCGTGTAGATGTCCCACCTGCACCGTGGAAATAACCGTGAAAATAGCCGCGCGATAATGGTAACGAAAAACAGGAGGCAACACGAAGCAGCAAGGGTGCCAGCCGCAGAGATGTGGTAACAGCCGATGGCGCTATAGAACAACAAAAAACAGCCATATCACTATCACCATCAACAAGAGCGATAATAACAAGGCCCACCTCTGCGTCCACGGCATGGTGGTGTAGTCCCAAGTGACGTCGTAGGTGAAGAGGATCTCGCCCTCGTATTCCGCGTTCAGGTAACGGCTAGGGTCGTTGGTGGTGTACCTGCCGGGGGGACAACCAATCCCAAAAAAGACAACAAAAGAAGCGAAAATAGGGCACCACACATTTCAAGGCGACAACCTAGCCGTCTCAAGTAAAACGCCGCCGGAGGCATCACGTAAGTAAACACAGTCACGGAAACGGCACTTCTGGGGTGCTGAGGTGACGCATGGGGCCGTGACCGTGAGGTGTCGTGCCCGTTCGAATGGACGACACAGGAAGAGCAACGACGGCAAGAAGCACATACCACGGGCAGGACATCCCCAAACGCCGCTGGATGTATGTATGCAACTACAAACGTGGCGAGGGATACAAGCTTCCCCAGGAACGCTCGGGGTTATTGGTGTAACCGAGCTCATCAATCAGTGTTGTTTCGGAAAGGGCATCTATGAAAGCATAACAGACCACCCATCGCTGGCATCCATCATGTCTCTGCGTGGGATTTGCGACACCTTGTGGCTGTCTGGCTTAGCGTCGCATGGAAAGCGAAGGGGCGGGCGGATGCTGCGGTGCACTGCCGGCTAGAGGTCGGCACCGCTTCTCATGCCGAGGCGACAACAACAGCAACACCATATCATCAATATCGACAACGAAAACGACGACAACAGCAACAGCAACAAACCAATTCACCGGGTGGAGTGATATTGTGGCAATTTGAAATGTGGAACTGCCGATGTAGTGAATCTCTTGTCAAGATCTCACAATGTAAATGACTCGATATATCCAACAGTGGCACTGCCCTGAAAAGTGGCACATTCCATTGTTGCCCCTACATGCCAACACCAATAACAACAGAAGATAGAATGGTGCAGCACAAAGGTCATGACATGAGACATGAGACATGAACAGGATGTACTTCGAAGTATCTCAACGCACCCTTGTTCGCTGCAAGTATCGATATTGGCGCCTTCATGGTAGGGCGATTGGAACTCGTGAACCACGGACATCGGCTCCACCAGGAAACCAACCTGTCGAGGACAGAAACAGAACAAAAAACAAGTACACCAGCAGGAAAGAGTGTCAACTACTGTTTGGATATCAGCAACCCTGCACACAAGAATCAATATACCTTTCTCAACACAAGGCATTGGGTTGCTTTGGCATCGTCTTTACCGTGCTACACTCCCGCAAAAAAAAGAAGAACTCCATACTTGTGTCCTACAAGCACTCACGATGTGGAACTGCGTTTCCTCGACATTCCTGGGGTTGATGGCCACCGTGAAGCGAAGGTGGTTGTTCAGGAAAGCCTTCCCATCCGCCGAACGGAAACCCACGGGGAAACCCCTGGCAAAACAAACACGAAGGTACAACACGACAACATACGTGTTTCACAGGGCACGCAGCACGGGTGTAATCGTGAAATCAGAAAAAAAAAAAAAAATGCCGCGAAAACAACGGCATGGGGTCATGGGGTGGACCTTGGAACAGACCGATCGATGTACGTACGTATGTACTCAAGAGGGCTCGCGGAGCCAACTTAAGGACGTACTGCTACCCCCCTCCCCACCCCCCACCCCCCAGTTTGTTCAATACGTTCATTGTATAGGATTTAGCATGGTATAGGAAAGTCTATATATTCCTCATTGTATGTATTGGCTTTAGTATCGTGGTGTACAAACCAAATACATACATGCAATACTTAGACGCCGCGTGTGTGTGTGTATTGCATGCAGTAGAATTATTAAGCGGGCCCTGTCTAGTGCGGGTATGTTGAGTCCAGAGGTTGTACCGGGACCATACGGGGCCACCGGCACTATTCAGAACAGGGATGGATGCATGTATATATCAACGGCGGCGGCGGTGGATGAAGTGGACACTCATCATCATATGTCCTGAGATTTGATCGGCACTATCCCGACCGGCGGACTGCTGTGGCACTACGTCACAACATCGTCTATTTAGTCATAATGCCTACTACACATCCATATGGATACCTATACGAAATCCTATACAATAGACGATGTATAGGCTAAACCATACCATACAAAATCCTTGTTGAAACACCGTATACGGAAGAGAACAGTCCCCCCACCCACCCACCCCCGGATCTGGTCTTTAATCCAGTTTGTGGCAGTACGTCCATGATTTGGCTCCGCGAGCCCACTTGATGTACTGTCGGAGGGGGACGGCGGCTGGGCGATCACAAACCCAAACCCTTGGCATCCCAACCATCATCTCACACTCACAAAGATTAACTTGTACTTCGGAGTAGGAAGTCGGAAAGAGGAGGCTCCGAGGGATGATACTTGACAACACTCAGGGTATGGACGGGATCCCCCCCTCCCTCCCGGTCAGGTATCAATATTTTCTCTTCGGCGATGGACTGGACGATCATAGTAAGAGAAGATCCTGCGTACCGACAGCGGCGGACAACTCCCCCCTCCCCCCACGTATATCCGCTGCCCCCCCCCC